AAATTATTATTATAATAAAATTATTATTATAATAAAATTATTATTATAATAAATGTAATATTTTTAAATTTTTAGTTTTTTATTTTATCCACACGGGTTGATCAGTTTTTCAAAAACAAATTGGACAAAAACTATATTTTTGAATAATATTTATTAATATAATACATTTTTTACATACATTTTTAAATTAATCCCGCATCGTAAAAACTGCGTATAGAATTTAAAATTAGTTTTATGTAATGTGATATATTACTCGCAAAAAAAAATTAATTGTATATAAATGAAATTATGCATAAGTAATACAATGTATTAGTATAGTATAGTATAATATTTTAAGTATGGTATAATATTTTTAGCATAGTATAGTATTTTCAATATAGTATATTGAAAATACTATATTGAAAATAGTATAGTATTTTTAATATAGTATAGTATTTTTAATATAGTATAGTATTTTTAGTATAGTATAGTATAAACATATATTTCAGAACTATGTTGTAGTATAATACAAATATAATGTTTAAAATATATTTTTGCGTTCATCAGAAATCGTAAAATGATATTATAATAGTGTTGTAAGTATTTATAAATATATGTTTACCTAATGTTTTATGGATATACAAAACTTTTAAAAATTTATTTACTATATATTAAAAGTTTTCAAATATTAAAAGTTTCTAAGTTTTCCATTTAGAATGGAATTTTTTTTTTTAGCACAATAAAAAAAAGCTAAAAGTATGATATTGTTTTCAAATTTTTTTTTTGGTTTATAAACTTTTTACTTTTTTTATTTAATATTTTTTTTTTTTTTTGTATAAAGTTTGTACTTTTTTTATTTATAAATTTAATACTTTTTTTTATTTATAAATCTTTTGTATGTTTTTTTTTTCGGCGACTTTCCCTTTTTTTGTTTTATCTCTTCTTTCTGAATTTTTTCCTCTTTCTCAATAATTTTCTTTTTCATAACATTTTCTTCTTTAACAACATTTGCGTCATTCACAATAGTTTCTTCTTCCACAACATTTTCTTCGTTCTCATCTGCATTCTTCCAGCTTCCATTATCAGTTGAATTCGATTTCATTCCTACATGTGAAAACAGAGGTTTGTCGGAAAAAAAACGGCGTAACTTCATGTCATTTAAGAAATGAGTTTTGGAAGCCTCTGTTGGCGGCACCTATAATTTGTAATGAAAATTAACTTTAAATCATTTTGTGATTAATCAGAAAATACAACTTACTTTTAAAAACTGAGTAATTAAACTACTATGACATGCAACTTCTATATAGAAATAATCATGATCAGAAATCATAAAACCCTCAAAGAAAGTCAATGTCTTATTAAATTCTTCAACCTTTTGAAGGAATTTGATTGCATTATATATGTCGCTTAAGCATTGATCTACCAATCGTTTTGGGTTTACAACTGGAGTTTCCTCACTCATAGTCAGTAAGTATTCCAAAACTAAGAACTGAAAAATTGCTCTGCGTGTTTTGGCAACGTCTTTAGTTGCGCGAACTTTGAAAATCCAAGTCAACATATAACTTGTTGCCTCACTACATACAATCTGTGGATGAGCATGAAAAAATCGTCCAGTTTCAGTTAAAGAGGACAAGGAACTATATTCCTGGCACAACTTTGCATTATTTTTAGCGAAATCTTGTACTTTTTGATTGTACTCATCACTGAGCATCGCAAACACTTCATAATGAGATGCACTTTTCAGTGGCATGTCATATAATATAACACCGCTTGTCACTACCAATTCAAAGGACAATGCTGAAACTTTAGCTTTTATTTCTTTTTCGAGCTTTTCAATTTTACTGCAATGTTTCTCAATTTTCTATAACCAAAAAAACAAAAAAAAATATCAAATTTTTATATTATTTTATGCAAATTTTAATTTAGTGCTCACCAATTGGGCATTACCATCGATATACGGGCGTTTATATAGTTCACATAGAATCGTTTCAAACTTTGCAACTTCAAGTTTTATTATAACCAAACGCTCATAAATATCAACTGATTTGTCATATAAGTCCAGCACTTTAGCCTTTTCTTTTTTAATGAGATCCACAAAAATATTTGTTTCATCCTCGTCGTCAGAAATCTATATTAAAATATTTTAGCACGTTTTAAATGTATGTATACGTGTATGCATTGCAATGAATGTGGCTAAACTAATTGTTTACTTACCGTTAGTTTCTCAAACTTCGAATAATCCATCCTGCTTGAAATCTTTATTTCAATATGATTGGTATCTCAATTTGGTAGTAGAAATGTTCTGAAAGGATTAAGCTCTGCTTAAATGATATAGAATTCTATATATATATATATACATATAGTTGACAAAAATATACAATTTTAATTAATAACAAATTTTACATCGATGTTTTTTTGTTCAATTAAACTGAAATAAATATTATTTAAATAAAACTATTAAGTAAATAAACTTAATATAATTGCATTAATAAATTAATATTTAAATCAGTCTGAATATAATAATTTTTATATATAATAATAAATATTTATTAAATACACAACAATTAAATATTATAATAATACATATTATATTTAAATACAATAATACATATATAAATATAATAATACATATTATATTTAAATACAATAATACATATTTAAATATAACAATAAATATTATAACACGGCCGTAACGTATATCGAAATAATCTAAATAATTCGGCTTTTTATAATAATCATTTATATGGTATAGACGAAATAATTTAAAATTAATTATATTTATACTTTATGAACCATTTAATTTAAATTTGTTGTGTGATGTACACGAATAATATCTTTACTGAACTGTACAAAATACATATCCTCATGAACCAGACTTATGACCTAAGGAAAAAAAAAAAAACACCACTCTAAGATGTAAGGTGTGTTCAGTGTTCAAACCTCTTTCAAAGCATAGCTTTTTTTTTGCGTTTTGTTTATTTGTTTAATTTGGAAATGGCGTTACTTTTATGGTCTTTTAATGAAATGACAAATAAAAATGAACAAATTAACATCATAACGTACGCATGCACGCATATACACATACATATGCATATAATCGCAATGTATCCACATTTCGGCTATATACTAAGCTATACACAAACGAACGCACGCAAGACACACACACACACTGACGACAATTCCCTACCAACAACAAAAGACGTTGTACGTAGCCGTGTGAATTAAGTTTTTGCCTTAAAATTTTTAAAGCGAGCTTTTACTTGTATTGTTGCTGTATTTGCTTATTTTTTTTTTTTTTTTGTTTATTTTTTTATACCCTATTTCATTCGAGTTTCCTTTAATTTTTGGGAACAATAAAACGGAAACGGCTAATAGCAACAATTGTAATCTTCAAGTGAAAAGCGTCTGAGTTGTTGGAGCGAATTGTAAATGTTGCCGTCTTTGGCTTGTTGTTGTTGTTATTGTTGATGGCTATTGTCATAAAGTGGAGATGCGTTGATGGTGAATGCGTGCAAGAAAAACCCAATGTAATTTACATCTACCAAAGTCGGAAAAGTACAGTGGAAAAGAGGTGGGGGGTAAGAAAAAAAAAAAAAAAATATCTGCAGCTCATCTCAGTCATATACACATTCTATAAAAAAGCGAAATAAATACAATAGACACAGATACATAAGTGGAAAGCAGCAACAACAACAACTACAACAATAATAATAACACAAAGAAGAACAGCAACAATAATAATGACTGCCATAACAACAATAAATACAATAGCAGTTAAAACCAACATCGGCATCAACAAACAAAGGCACGCATACGCACACTAACTAAATAAATGAGTGAAGGATAGAGGGAGAGTGTGTGAATATGACAGTTATTGTTGACAACATACGCACAGACAACATATACTAATTCACTCAGCAACATATGCACACACACCTAAAAATAAATACGCGTTCACCGTGCAATTGCAAAGGACATATACGTAACCATGCCGTCGCAATACAGGGTAATAGTTATTCAAAAAACAGGGTGAGGAGAATACAATATAAGAATTTAATGTATTTCATAAAGAGAAGTCTTGAAAAAGTGTCGTCAATATATATTCTATGTAAAAAAAAAAAAAAAATACAAAAAAAAAGTATCGGGAATTAATAATGTTGCCTTTAAAGTTGTCGTCGTCATACACCCCACCCCCCTAGGATCGAATATATCACGATCATAGTTGCCTGCATGTTCAGAAGGGAGTAAGGGCTTCTTATTCGAAAATTAAATTTGTATGAAATTATTATTTATTCCGTCGATTGATTCGAGATCAATGAAAAGTAAATTTCAGATTATAGCTAGCTCCTAGTGTGCAGAATTATGATATATACATATATATTTGGTTTACCCTGTTCTATGTATACTTGCAATATTCTATAACAAATACGGATATACGGATATACATAAAATCATTACAAAATATTTTACTTACATTCATGAATACGTATACGTCAGTATGTTTAGGTATGAAGTGTGAATAAGTGTTAACCATTAAATCTCATCTCCTTAAAGATATGTGTCAAGGGAAATATACAGTAAGACACACCAATTTAATTTTGGCTTTAAATATAAAGGCAAATATTCGGATGAATATTTTTCGTATCTGTTCTTCTGTTTGGCAGTATTTCTGACTTCCTTTAATGAGCTAACGCAAATGGAAATAAGAAAAGAAAACCAAATATAATATCAACACCAAATTTTTTGCGATGCCATGTACGAAAATCAACAAAACTCTCAACAAAAACACTAAAAAGAAATTGTACCATAACTGCGAAAGCAGTGAAAGTTGGAGCGAAAGTAAGATATACTCGTTATTCTAAATGGGTATGGTAGCGCTATAATCAACCTATTTGCTCAAATGCTTACGTCAATAATTGCAAAGGATATATATGCAAACGCAGTTACATTAGCTTTAAAAGCATCCTAAATAGCTACTCCCAAATGATTTTTATTTCTTGTACGTGTTTTTTAAGTGAAAATTCCTATTTGCCCAATATTTTTGCGCCCCTCTTTTTGGAGATATGCGGGCGGTACACTCACTCTGTTGCTATTTATACTTTATTTTATTTTTTGTTTACTTGGAGCCTTAGACTTTAACAGTCAGTCTTGATGCTAGCGTACTTCACAAATGTTTGCGTTATTTTAATACTTTTTACAAGTTGGAAATGTTATTACAAAATTAGTATAAATAAGAAAAAAAAAAAAAACAAAAAAAAGAAAAGGTTAAAATTATTAACACTAAATAAGCTCAAATATTAGAAAATTATTTCAAGTTTAATGCAAAACGGAATAAAACGATAATTATACATACAAACGAGTAATTTTTAAATATTTCAATTATCGCAAAAAAATATATATATATATATATTTGAAAATCTTAAAATCTTTTTCGGAATATGATTCCGAAAATATAAGGAAGTCAACTTTGCATAAGATCAAATTTCCATAAATAAAAAAATTTATAATTAATATTTTCATACAAAAAAAAAAAAACTCGCGAATTCCAAATAAACAACAAAATACTATTTTTAGTAGCTATTCAACGGAGCCGTGAACCACACACATAAATTTTGGAAGTAGTTCGATTCAGTTAGTCAATAATCTCAACCCTTACGCTACAGTTCAGTTATCTGTTTATTAAAAATTACTTTAAAAAGCTAGTTCCTGATTCGATAAATAGTCCTAGACACATCGAATTGATTTTTGAAGGTTCAATCAAGAAAACCTTATTTGAGGCCACACTAAATAAATTTTGGTAGATGAAAATCAAGTGTCTCTGACTGCATGTATATAAAACTATAAACCATAAATGGTTGAAAAAAAAAATTGGTGCATGTATTGATTAAATAATTTTTTCAACTGACTTAATTCTCCATAAGTCACTAAACTATAAATTTGAATGTAAAAAGGTTTACCAAAGGCATTAACAATTTTGGTAACTGAGTAATATGGAACACTATATGGCCAAACTGTGTTTTGTAGTTACTATGTCACTCGGTTTCCGAACTCATTAATCAATAACGTAAATAATTGAATACTCAAAGATACTCATTTATGATATGGTAAATCCAATGACATTAAACATTAAACGAAATTACATAATATGGGGCTCATAAAAATATTACATATTACAACAAGACATGATTTTATAAACTAATATAAAAAATAAAATAAATTAATATAAAAAATAAAATAAATTAATATAAAAAATAAAATAAATTAATATAAAAATAAAATAAATTAACATAAAAATAAAATAAAACAAATTAAAATAAAAAATAAAATAAATTAATATAAAAAAATCAAATAAATTAATATAAAAATATAAAATAAATTAATATAAAAAATAAAATAAATTAATATAAAAAAATAAAATAAATTAAATATAAAAAAATTAAATAATAATATTAAAAATAAAATAAAATTAAATAAAAATAAATAATTAAATATAAAATAAATAAATTAAAATAAAAATAAAATAAAGTAATATAAAAAAATAAAATAATTAATAAAAAAAATTAAAATAAATTAATATAAATAAATAAAATAAATTAATATAAAAAAATAAAATAAATTAATATAAAAAATAAAATAAATATAAATAAAAAAATATAACAAATTTATAAGAAAACTATTCGTAAAGTTTTATTAAAAAAGACTATTATAGACACGGCACTTCCGCTCACTTCGGAACAAAAATAGAGATAGCGTATGAAATAAACAGACTTAAGACGAGATTTCAGCTATAGAAATACACAACAGCAATATTTTTCTAGTGTCGACCGACAACAATTACAGTTGCTGCTTAGTTTGCAGCAACTCACACCAACAATTAAAAATAAAAAAATATTAAAAAAAAAATTGCATATATTCCAGGCTAAATTAGTCAGTACGGATTGAATTAATATACAAAAAAAAAATAAATAAATAAAATGGTAAAGCAAAGAATATCAATTTCTGGGGTACATGCAATAAATATCTTGGAAAAAAAATATGCATTGAAAACTTTTAAGAAAACAGGAAATCACTAAGCTTGTGTGCCGCTTGTGAAATATGATAACTTATAAGTAAAAGAATTTTCTTATTTTATTTTTAAGACAAGTCAGCAAAAATTGTTGTAAAGATTCTCGCAACAAAACTTCAGATTACAGCACTCTATTATGACTCATAGTTGCAGTCATAATGTAACTAAATTGACCAAACATATGGGGTGAGCCACAAAAATTTCCTGGCGTTTGAAAGATTAGCCCACGCTCTAAAATGATCAATAATATTGCATATATTTTATGCTTCATTGAATTGTTTGGCTTCTGTATTTTAAGATGAAATAATTCTGAATAACTATTACTTTCTTTTAATTAATTTTATAATTTAAAAACAATATTTAACACCATTGGTTATTATATTTTCAATACACAAAATTATGTATATATAATCAATATATGTATATATTCAATATATGTATATATTCAGTAAACATATATATTCAATAGATGTATATCATTCATTTACATACATACATGATTCCATTTGAAAATTTCTTTAATTGAATACCTCTCCTTATTCTTTAATTTTTTTTTATTTTACTATTGAAATGAAATGAAATGAAAAAAAAAAAAATTTGAAAGAAACAGGCGACAGGGAGACGCGTACTTCGGCCACAAGACGGCAATTTCGGCGACAAGAAGACTATATTTCAGGCGCCATTTTTTATTAACAAAAGAAAAATATATGACCTGGACTTAATTGTAATATTAAGTAATATAACAAAATATGCATATAAATATGCCAAAACCGAAAATTATATTATGAATATCATGTGCGAAATATTATACACATAATGATATATCACTCTACTCACTTGTAATTAATACCAAATTTTACCACTTCTATGATTTTAATACGTAGTCTACCGCACACCTTAACTTGCACACGAGCAACACTCCACCTCTCAGAACTTTTCAAACTGAACTGACTTGGAATCCAAAAAGATGATGTACAATAAATCAAGTTATACGCCACTGCCACAAATTTGCTGAGCATGCTTGACAGATTAACTCAGCATAAACAGAGTTGTGATCAGTTTTTCATTTTTCATTTACATTTTAGCTCACAATAATTATTTGAAAGGAAGAGACAAACGATTGATGTTTATTTTTCATTAGAAAATTATATAAAAACAAAAGATATATATAAAAATATGGTATTTTATACCATTTTAGTTTATATATTTCAGAATATAGATCCAGACAATATACAGCTATTTAATAAAGTAAAATTATTGTGTGACAAGCTTACAAATGCAGGATTTCAGAAGAGCGTTGGCGGGAATAATTAATTATTGCATACAATAGGTCTGTTCCATGAGCTACTCGTAGTAACTTTGAGTGACACTCGATGCGCGTTTCACCAGCTAAATTTCAAGTATATAAGATCATTAGAGAAAGCATAACAACCCTGTCGAAAAATTTGTGTTGATGTGTGAATCAGCTGTTTTGATTTGAATTTTAATTGTGTATTATTTATTTGCGCGGCACTGGTGTTCTCACCAGATTTTACACAAAGCTGATCCATGAAAATCTGTGTAGAGAGCGTAATTTGGCACTTAATTTATGTTAAGCTCTCGTTTTATACTTTACTTGTGTTTTACTTGAATTTTACTATGAGTAGCTCGTCGAACAGAGCTAATGTAATTGTTCAAAATAAATCCTGTTTCACATCATGGGTTTGTATTATTAAAAATGTATATTTGAATTGCATTTACTTTTTCACAGTACAATGCGCCGTCACGGTCTTATTTGTTTTTTTTCTTCAAATCATTTCCAAAAAATTAGTGGTTTAAGTAAATGGCTTCTTTTCATTTAGTGCAAAAAAAGAAAAGAATTATTTTTTATCATTTTACTAGTTAACAAACTATGCCTGAATATCCTTACTAATTTATAATAATTTGGTGCATTTGTATAACACAAACTAGTAAAACAACAAGATCACAATAAGAGAGATACGAGATAAAAATAAATTCCTATTTAGATTAGCGTGGAATATTATAGTAATATCAATATAAATTTTAAAAAACAAAACCAATAAAGATAATATAAAACTATACAATTATGGTAGTAGATTGTTAATTAATTTTATATACACAAACTTGTTTAAATTATATCCAGTAATAAATAATTACATACGTGTTACTATATAATACTATGTTTTCACTTGTCTCCTTTAGGCGGTTCTGCTTAATAAGGACACCAATGAGGATAATAGCACATTCTCACTGCCTCATTTAGGCGATTTTGCTCATTGTAACCACTAATGAGGATGATTTACCATACAAAAATCTTCCATATAAATGAGCTCATTATCAATAAATCAGCTCATTTTAGGCGAAAAATGTTGTATGCAATCTTTAAAAATAAATTTCCCATAAGAGTTATTGAAAAGTTGAAATATATGCCATATAAATGTGAACAAACAACAGCTCATCTATAAGCATATATCTATGATATGTATATAAATGATTTAAAATTTCAATTATAGATTTAATTTTTTTGTGTCTTGCAAGTATAGAAAAGATCGGCAAGTTGCTGGCCTTTACTGGCCGACATTTACGCAAAAAAACAACACTATTTTCTCTATCTAGGCCAGTAGTTGTATACTGGCCACACACTGCGGTCAGTAAAGGAGTAAGTGCATTACATATGTTTTTTGACATACATATATTAAATTAGAATAATGAAAAATAACTATATGCATATAACTATGAATATAAAAATATATATATATATATATATGTATAACAAAATTTAATAAAAATTTATATGAATTGATATACAATATAATGTAAATTAACTTGTAGAAGAGGTACGATACAAATGTAAAGTTTTATCCACTGTTTATAATATATGCATATTCTCTGCGGAAATTAAGTCTACATTAAGACTTATACATACATGTGCTTGTAGCTTTAAGTCTCCAATGATGTCTACGCCCATATCTCACCGTTTGTAAGGTGCTAAAAATAATTTCAACAAAGTGCATACATAATGTTTTCATTATTAAAACAAATAAGTTTTGATATAAACAAATGTAATTCGTGATTTTGTGTGAAATGAATATAAATTTGCCTGTTATTTATATATAAAAATATCGCGAATAGAATTGAATTTATAGATTTTTGCAAACTACTTTGAAGAATGCAATAGCAAAGAACTCAAATGATAAATCAGTTTGCATTTATATATTTTCCAAATAATGGAAAAGTTAATTATATTATTCAATAAAGGTAAAAAAAATATTTAAATATTTTATTTTAATTATTTTTTTTCTTTTAAGACATATTTTTTGCTTTATAAAGTATAGAGTTGTTTTATGTAGTCACTTGACCTGGAGGCTTAACACCAACGTATTCTGAATACATGTCTCAAGATAATGTGTCGATAAACGTTGCTTTGGGAAAAATTATGTCGGTGCCAATTGGAGTAATAGGTTTGGATATAACTTTCTGCATGTTGAAAGATTGACTCATCTGTAGACATCAGCTGTCTACAGATGAGACAGCTGATTTGACTATAACGCTAAGACATACATAAGTCTGCACAAAAGCGAAGGCAAACGAGCAAGACTGTTGTTACATGAAAGTGCTTTGATTGCTATCAATATGGATACCATATACATATATCTCCAAATATTGCTATTACATATTTCGCTTGGTTGACATATTTCGGAAGTGTCAGACTGTTTTATTGCGACTTATGGAGCTTACGGACCCCAGCTAAGTCGGTTAGAGATATGGCTCAGCAAGCAGCGATTGCTTAGTTCTACTGAGAGACTGCAACTATGTTCTCTCTCTGTCACATATTGGCACGCTAAATCGGCAACCAAGTATAATGCGTTATACCACCTTTACGGAATCAACCCACTGTTCAGCATAATGACAATTGCCGGAACTTGAATCGGATTGTCTCAAATTTAACTTTTGGTATAGTGTCGTTAATAAAAACGCAGAACAGTGTGTACAGTTATTTTACATTGTTACCTGCCGTAAAGGACTAAGGCTATGGTGTTTCCAATACAGGTACACGCATTTCACGAGAGGTACGCCTTATCTCAGGATTATTCTAATACTAATCTCAAAAGTAAAGTTTAATTTTTCAGGAAAGGTAGATGTAAGTGACAATGAAATTAGAACGGAGGCACGAAATCACTATTTACGGTAACATGCTCATAGTCAGCAAGCGGGTCCTGAAGGTAAATAATAATTTTTGAAATTGAAACTTATTGTGGAAATCAGAAAAGTTAATGACAGTTTCGTTAGTTTTGTTGGCATAACTAGAAGGCAGGGAAAGCAGTGTGCTCTACTTTCGATGTAGTTAAGAAAATTAAGCTTATGAAATGTGACTATATTATTTATGAAAGACAGGTTTTAAATATTAATCTTAAAAATCAAAGTTAATGTATCAAAATTGTATTCTTGTAGACAACGGCTTTCAGTAATTTGAATTTAGGTTATAGTATTTTTATTTCTGTTTGAATTTAGTTTTTATTTGTTGAATCCAGTAACTTTTTAAATTCGCGTTTCTAAAAGTTGGCTGCAGTTTACTCTGCTCTATTGTCTAATATAACTCATATCATATCGTGTATGTGACAAATTACTAAAAACAAAAATATATTCATAAGTACATATGTACTTATTAGTATGTATGATAAGGTACATTCATTCTATGACACCGTTGTTTACGTGCTGCATTATTTGTGCTGTCATCCTATATTTTTATTAGATTAACATTTAATGTCACACTAACAAAGGGGCGCTAAGACTATAAAAAAAAATACCGAGTGGGTGGGAAAAACTGCTTAATTCATGACAAAGAAACTCGACAGTCACCACATATGGCTGCTGTGGCAACACGTTGCAGTTCTCTGTGGTATTGTAGTATCATAGCATCATGCTCCATATTGCAACAGGAAGAGGAATCCTGCCCTACACAAAAAAAATTGTTGCAGTTCAACAGTGTTGTGGAAAAAAAAGCAAAAAACGAAAAAAGGATGCCAAAATAAAGCAGATTGCCTCTGGAAGGTACGAGTACGAGAAATGTTTTAAATAAATTTGAACTTTTTAATTAGCACAGAAAAAGGAAACGTCGGAATTAGAAACAAAACTTTGGTGTTTTCAATTTTTTTAATGTTAAATTAGAAAAGTGAAATTTAAACTGGTGCTTAATATTTTTTTACCATTCCATAATAAATTGACTGACTAAACGGACTTTTACCACTAAATGTTGGCACCGCTAAAACGGTAAGGCGTTTGGCAGATTTGAATTTGAGACTCCACATATAATATAAATTACTTGATTTATGTGATTATTATTTGGAAGTGTTAGACTCTCCTTTGAGTGTGATTCATGAACCTTACGGATCCCAGCTAAGTCGGTTAGATATATGGCACAGCAAGCAGCGATTGCTTAGTTCTACTGAAAGACTGCAGGTATGTTCTCCCTCTATTTTAAAATATTAAACTATCAGTTTAGATTTGGATCCATAGACCATCTTTGGGTCTGTTGCGTTACCCGTAAAAAATATAATTATAATATTAAAACTAATTTAAAAAGTATTTCAAACAGTGTTAAATTACAATAATAAAGTTTTGTATTATTAATTAATTGAATTTTTTGTTGATTATATAGCTGTTTCGAGTATTGCTAAATACCCATCATCCATCATTTATTATTCGTAAATAATTTTTTAAGACTGCAGCTACTAAGGGTTGAGGTCGCACCCTGCCAAACTTAAAGATCAGAGTCAGCGTTCTTAGCCAATTCACCTAAAGTCGTACTTTACTTGTGCATTCGAGCTTATAGTTTTTTTAATTCGCTGTAAAAGTTCATTAACAAATTAATTTTTATATTAATATAAATGTAATATTTAATTAATTAATTATATTTTTATTTTTTTTAAATT